GAAGTATTTTGGAACGCTGTTCCCTCTTTCCATATACTTTTACTTTTCCAGCTTGCAGCGGTGCCATACAGTTTTCTCTGCAACAAATTTCACTTATTTGTTCCATTGCGGTCTGTTAAATATTCTCTTGAAGGATTTTTATTCTAAAACAGTAATACGCTGAGAACCTGAGCCAGACACTCCTGCCCCTTCCACAGCCCAGTACCCCAGTGACAGTCACCAGCTCTCTGCTCACAGAGCACTGCGTGATCAGTGGTTTTTGATCATTCAGTTCTCAGGGGTACAGATGCAGCATTGGGACAATGTTACATCCACCTTGGTAAGTATGATTTCTAGGAAAAAAAAACATAACTACTCTTTTAAGCATTCAGACTGGGCCAGGGTTATAGGGAAGAGGCCCTTGCCGTGGTCAACATGGGAACAAGGTGCTTTGACAGGGAGGTACTCCTTGGCAAGGTACTCCTCAAGTTGAGGACATATGGCCTGGTATGGTTTAGGAGAAGGGAACAGATGTTTGTCCCTACTTCCCTGGCCAGCCAGGCTACATGTTCTGGTAAGTGTCTGGTTTAGATTTTTGAGGGGACACCATGCTTTTGTCCAGAGTTTTGTGTCCCCTCTTAAAACTATAGAATTTAGAGGGCCTAACACTGTGGGTTTTTTTTGGAGGTTCTTCTGAAAATTTATACCAGACCCTTCAGGTTAATCTTGGCCATCTTGGTTTTTTGGGGCTCAGGTAGTCAGTGGAGGTGCCTGGGTTAGTTTGGGAGCTCAGTCTGGTATGGCTCAGGTAATGCTGCATGTGGGGGTGTCACCATTTCTGTAATAATTTAGGCACTTTTCAGAGTGGTTGCCCTAATTTTAAAGAAGATACGGGACTCTCTGTGGCTGTTATGTGTAGCGCTGGAAGCAAAGTTGTCTTCATATTAGTCTCATCTATTACATAGTTAATATTTACCTCTGTGGACTACAAAACACCCCCCATGTTATGGAGTACTAGGCAGAGAATACGGGATGTACTGTATATGTAAAGCAGAGAATGGGACCTTCACAAACATTCACTGTTGGGGTATTAAATACTCCTGTATAAAACACACATTCACCTTGGAGGTTCTCCACCAGAGAAAGCTATGAAAGTCTCATTCTCTGCTTTATAAATAAATGTATTAAAATACACATATAATTTACAGCGGGGAAAATAATTATTTGATCATCTGCATATTTTGTAAGTTTGCCCACTTACAAAGAAATGAAGGGTCTATAATTTTTATCATAGGTGTACTTTAAATGATAGAGACAGAATATCAACCAAAAATCAATAAAAAACACACGATACAAATGTTATCAATTGAGTTGCAGTTCTGTGAGTTAAATAAGTATTTGATCCCCTACCAATCAACAATTCTGGCTCCCAAAAACTGGCTATGTGCTCATGTGGTACACAGATTAGTTCTGTCAGATTAGCTTAGGAAGGTGCTCCTTATGACAACTCATTTTGTGTTTAAAAGCTACCTGTCCACAGAATCTCTTTCTTGGGCACCACCATGGGCAAGACCAAAGAGCTGACAAAAGGAACACGATTGTAGACCTGCACAAGACTGGAATGGGCTACAAGACCATCAGCAAGAAGCTTGGTGAGAAGGAGACAACTGTTTGAGTGATTATTCACAAATTCAAGAAATACAAAATAACCATCAATTGCCCTCAGTCTGGAGCTCCATGCAAGATTTCTCCTCATGGGGTAGGGATGATCACGAGAAACATGATGGATAAGCCCAGAACTACACAGGAGGAGCTTGTGAATTATCTCAAGCTAGTTGGGACCGCAGTCATCAAACAAACCATTGGTAACACAATAGGCCACCATGAATTGAAATCCTTCAGCGCCCGCAAAGTACCCTCCCCCTCCCCCTCAAGAAGGCACATATACAGGCCCTTCTGAAGTTTGCCAATGAGCATCTAAATGATTCAGGGAAGGATTGGAAGAGAGTCAAATGAGACCAGAACTGAGCTCTTTGGCATTAACTTGACTCGCCATGTTTGGAGGAAGAACAATGCTGACTATGACCCTAAGAACACCATCCCTACAGTCAAGTACAGAGGTGGAAACATTATGCTTTGAGGCTCTTTCCATGCTAAAGGTACAGGCTGACTTTGCAGCATTGAGGGGCCAATAGACGGGGTCATGTATTGTAAAATCTTTGATGAGAACCTTCTTCCCTCAGATAGAACACTGAAGAAGGGTCATGGATGGGTCTTCCCGTATGACAGTGACCCAAAACTTTCCACCAAGGCAATAAAGGAGTGGCTCAAAAAGAAGCACATTAGGGTCATGGAGTGACCTAGCTAGTCTCCAGACCTTAAACCTATAGAATATTTATGGAGGGAGATGAAACTTTGAGTTGCCAAACAACAGCCAAGAAACATTAAGGATTTAGAGAAGATCTGTAAAGAAGAGTGGACCAAAATCCCTCCTGAGATGTGTACAAACCTGGTAACCAACTATAAGAAACATCTTACCTCTGAGCTTGCCAACAAGGGTTTCTCCACCAAATACTAATTCAGGTGTTTGCTTGAGGATCAAATACCTATTTTCTGCACGGAACTGCCACTCAATTTATAACATTTGTATCATGAGTTTTTTCAGGATTTTTAGTTGATATTATACTATAATTTAAAATACACCCATGATAAAAAATATAGACCCTTCATTTATTTGTATGTCGCCAAAATCTGCAGATTCCCCACTGGATATCTTTCTAATACATGCCCATGTCTCCATGTTTTAACCCTTTAACCCATTCGATGAACATTACTGTAGTATGTCCAAAGTTTATTGAATACCCCCAAACGTTATATATTTTCACAGCAGAGACCCTGGAGAATAAAATGGTTGTAGTTGCAATTTTTACGTCACACAATAGTGACTCAACGGTTTATCGAACACAACGTTTTAGTAAAAACTACACTGTATAAATTTTAGTGAACACAAATGCAATATAATACCAATTTATTTTTAAAATATAAAAGAAGAGATTGCATTGAGTAATTAGATACCCAACATGTCAAGCCTTAAATTTGGTGTGGCTATTAAAAGGGGGAAACATCAAGACCTAAAAACGGTTTATTGAACACAACGTTTTAGTAAAAACTACACTGTATAAATTTTAGTGAACACAAACGCAATATAATACCAATTTCTTTTTAAAATATAAAAGAAGAGGTTGCATTGAGTAATTAGATACGCAACGTGTCAAGCCTTAAATTTGGTGTGGCTATTAAAAGGGGGAAACATCAAGACCTAAAATTGTTCATGGATAACACTTTAAAAAAAACCTTTACAGGTCACGGTAAATGATAAGCAGTAAAATAAAAGCAATACACTAAATCTCTCCATGTCATGGAACACTAGTTTGGTGCATGCAGTAATGATAGCAAAAGACCCTGAAAGTGCAGAAAAATATGTGCAGATCAGCCAGAAATGGACTCAGCTCCAAAATACTGTTGTGGGGTGACACAGCCTTGGCATGGAGACTCTTCATTGTTCAGTCTGCAGCCGATGGATGGATCAACATTTGTGAGGTTTAGCAGGAACCTGATGAATTTTGATTTGTCTATGGGCAAGCTGGTTGTAGTGAAGTTGATCCACTGACAAACAGTAAAACCAGGTCAACAGATCTCTACTGGTAAGCAATCAGGTTTCTTGCACTCCCCATTGGTAGAACACAATAGCACTGCAGGAGGTATTTCCCCAACACCGACTGTGTTGATGGGGGAATCAAGAAATTTTCTTTTCTTCAACCAAAGGTTGAAGGAAAGAAAATTTCTCAATTCCACCATCAATACAGTCAGTGTTGATGGGGGAACCCCTTCAGCTGTACTATTGTATTCTGACAGCAAGAAGTTTCCCAGCCATAAGAATACAATGATCACTGTGTGTGGCTATAGCCACCAGCAGTGATTGGAAAAACCTTACAGGCTGGTTGTACTGAAGTCATTTGATAGATCAACTTCAGTACATCCAGTCTGCCCATGGATGGATTTAAATGCATCCAGTTCCTGCTGAACTTCAACATGTCAGTGGCCAGCTTTAGATAAAAATAATAAGGAGCGCTAATTAAACTTCCTGAGATAACACAAGAAGTGTGCACAGGACACAGGTAAGCTCTGGATTTCACACATTCATTCATGCATGCATTTTCAAACCTATCAAAATGACAAAAGAAAACACTTTTGGAGGTATGTTTAGCTGACCAAAATGGAGCAAAGAAGAGAAGTTGATAGTCAGGGTTTACATATGTTTTAACTGCCAGTGTAGTTTTTAGTCCAAAAAAACCCAACACCAAACACTGCCAGTGCAGCTCTCAGCACCAGAAACTAAAGTAAAATATTATTGGTTCTAATACTATTTTGAGTGTGTTTGTTTGTAATACAAAGGAATCATCTAAGAACAACATCACAGTCATTTTCCTTCTGGGGTTCCAAGGCATGGACAGATTTAATTTATTGCTCTTCATTTTGCTGCTTATCACTTATTGTGTGACAATATGTGGAAACTCCTTGATCATCAAACTGGTGTCCTACAGCAAGAACCTCCACTCTCCCATGTACTTCTTCCTCACTCAGCTCTCCGTCGCTGACATCTTGTTGACCACAGATATTTCCCCTTTCATGTTAGATATTGTACTACATCAAGGGGCCGCCATGTCTTTCCCTGGATGTATCACTCAGCTTTATTTTTTCATTTTAATCGAGGGGTTTGAATGTTTTATTCTGACCATGATGTCCTATGACCGCTACCTAGCCATTTGTTCTCCACTACATTATGTCACCATTATGAACCATGTGCTTTGCATCAAATTAGTTGTTGCCTCTTGGCTCCTAGGCTGTTTGGTTGCACTGATTCTGATAAATGGAATAACTCATCTATATTTCTGCAGGTCAAATATGATTGACCATTTTTTTTTGTGATTATTACCCTTTGATGGAGCTTTCTTGCTCAGATGTGTCTAGGTGTCTGATAGAAGCCACCTTAATGTGCATTCTAGCAATAATCTTACCATTCGTCGTGATAGTAATTTCATACGTGTGTATTGTTTTAACCATCATAAGGATATCCTCCAGTTCTGGAAGACAAAAATCCTTTTCAACTTGTAGCTCCCACCTGACAGTTGTATCTATATTTTATGGGACTCTAATTGCCACGTACATCATTCCAAAGGAAGGACAGATGAAAATCTTCAGTAAGACATTGTCATTGCTATACACTGTGCTTACGCCATTACTAAATCCTTTCATATACAGTTTGAGAAATGAAGACATTAAGAAAGCTTTGAGAAAAATTCACCTATAAGTAAAATGTTTCCTATTTAAAATCTTGGATGAAACATGCAAAACAGAGTAATGTATGACTGTCCATAAAGCTACCCAAGCACAACATTTGCTGTTGTCATTTTTTGTTATTATTTAATTTGTAACAAATATAATAAAAATATACCAAATAATGCTTACTAACCCAAATAAATAATAATAATAATGATTAAGTCAAATGATCAAAGGGAAGTGACGTCAGACGCACAGCGGAACCGGAAGTGACCGAGTGGCCATTTTGGATCCTGGAAATCTTGATGTTAGAGCCAGGAGATGTGCTTCTGAGGATCTCCAGAGGGTCTGGCTGCATTGTTCCTGTGTGATGGCAATTTTTAAAGATGGAATATATGTAAGCATATAATAAAGTATTATCTATTACTGCTTATACGGATTTACACTATTATTGATTTATATATATGGTGGGCATCATTTGGAGACGGATGTGGAGAGAGGAGTATATCTGTGTAGCTGTGAAGATCCTTTTGGTGGAGTTTAGTAGATGTCTGCACCCTGCCTGCTTAATTACAAGCCTGTGATGATTTGATTTTTGGTAAGGGTATTTAATCTGCACACTCTAGAAGTGGACACAGTTTTTTCACAATATTGTTACTGAATTCAACTGTCACAAGATTGTTTCACGGGCACGTTTTACACAATTGTTCACTGTATTTAGTAGTGATCACGTGTGTTTTTTTGTGTGTGATTCACATGCGTTATGGAGTGAATATTTATTTATAGTTGATAAGGGTAATACACTATGTAAGTTTTTTTTCTTTTTGAGGTTTTGGTCTCAGAAGTCACTTTGGAAGTGGTTTTCAAACTTGAAGGTTTTTGAACCTTATGAATGACTTTATATTTGGAAGGACAATTTCATACAATAATTTTTTTGGGACTTGTGTATATATATATTTCTTTTTTGATCACTTAAGGCACTGCTTATTATTTATTTGGGTTAGTAAGCATTATTTTGTATAACTATAATACACTTTTTGGGTAAAAGTGTTTTCATGCATTTTGGGGATTTTTGTATGTAAACTATTAGGGAAGGGGACACCGTATATTATTGTTATTGAAATATAATAAATACCTCAAAAGCATATTTTTAAAATATGTTTTATTGAAATTTTACAATTGTAAACCTACATCTATTTGTACATACAGTATATAGTATGATCAAAGCTCACACATAGTGACAAAGAAAAGACATTTGTTGTTGCGTCCTAATACAATAACAATTTACAGAGTAATAACATATTATCATGTCTGTAGTACCGTTCTAAGGGCAGCCCTCAGTTCAACAATCTGTTAGGTGGCCAGGTAAAAACTGAATGCAGGGCATTGCTAAAGATAAAAAGTTAAAGTGATAATAAAGTTTTTTTTTTTCATTACATGACAAACATAGTTACCTGCTCTGTGCAATTGTTTTGCACAGAGCAGCCCCAATCCTCCTTTTCTCTGGTTCCCTGATGGCACTTGAGGCCCCTCCTGCCTAGTGCCCCCATAGGAAGCAGTTTGCTCCGATAGCAAGCAGCTTGTCCATTCACTCATAGCTTGAGGCTCAGCCCCGCCTCTGCTCTCTCCTCATTGGCTCACTGGCTGTGATTGACAGTAGCAGGAGTCAACCATCAGTGTAAAAAATTTAAGTGCAAAATGTATCAATTTGTATCACACCGGCAGAAAAACTTATGTCATAAAACACTTTTTCACCTGCTCTTTGGATTATGGGGTCTACTGCCTGTCCTACCCTTGTGGTCTCCTGTACGTAGGCCGCACAATCCGCACCTTAAGGGCCCATTTTGGGGAACACAGGAGGCTCGTAGAGGATAGCAGTGAGGACCACTAGGCATTTTTTTACCCAGCATGACAAGTTCACAGAGGGCCTCAGAGTATGGGTGGTTGAATCCATCCCTCCTTGTGACTCTGTGGCAAAAAGGTTTCAAAAGCTTTGCAGCCGAGAAACCTTTTAGATAATAACTCTCAATATGAGTTAGATATAAAAGCCATCATCTAACCTTTAGTAAGGCTTGTTTTGGGTCCACCCCCATCCCCCACTATAGATCGTTTTCTTTTATGATGTTAGTGTCACATACAGAGTTGCATCAATATAATTTGAAAACTGTCATGCATATTAATATTAGAGTCAATATGTATTCAGTGTTATCATTTTATTACATTTTAATTCCATTTTTAGCAATATTTCTACTATTGTATTGTATTATTTTATCTTCTGATTGCACTGCTCTGGTTTGGCCTTGTTTTACATATGAATTGATTGATGTGCTAATATGATGCACTATAGAAATATGCCTGTTTGTAATCCTTATGTAAGGAGAAACCGACTACCTAGCTGCATGGTGTTTTCCTTTTCTCCCCCTTAATTTTTCTTCATTTAGCCCCCTTTATCTCCCACACCCTGTCCCACTTCCCTTTTTTTGGTATTCCAATATATTTTTTAAATCGATGTTTGTACCATACTTGGCCAGATCATTCCACTGATGATCTGTTTTTTTTTTCTATCATCTTTCCCCTTCTTAATGGCTTTCTCTGCTGTGCAGCTGGCTCCGTCTATGCCCTTCTTTGATTGGTCTCCGCCATCCTGAAAGTTTTTAAAAGCACCACCTCCCCCAGGGCGGGCCAGTTTGACAAAGGGGGAGAGGCCTCAGAAACACATTGTGACCCACCCATCTGTCAATTTATGGCACCTGTCAGATCCCCTGTCAGCTGATGGGAATGGGGGAGAGAGATGCCGCCAAGCTCTACCCACAAGCATGTCCCCATTTATCTCTGCAGCTGTTTTCAGTCTCACTATTTGGAATGAGCCATTACTACAGACCGTCTTGGCCAATGGAAAAATCTACAGGTTCCCTATATGGTGAGTGAGCTTAATAAAACATTGTGATTTGCTTTTATCTACACTGACCTGGAGCCCTGCTTTTCTATCTGTACATGTATGTGGTAGGCTCTGAGGAAGAGGTTGTGTCCTCAAAACGCGTTAGCCAGTTGGTCATCCAGGGTCCCATCGTATGAACTCAGATGTTGTTTGGATCATACATCTTGTTCAGTTTGACATGCCTGTGTTATTATGTCCATTGTGAGTATGATATCCATTTTGTTTCTTCAATTAAATTATTTTAAACAATAATGCACTAGGTCGGTGCGCCCTTTTTCTGTTTCTCCATTTGTATCGAGTGTATTTGGACCACCCCGATCTTTTGAGGGCAGCAAGCAGTGCATATTCCAGAAAATTCCAGAACATTCCTATTGGGTCTACTGAGTCCTTTCCTAGCGCAGGAGTAAAGTGTTTGTTGTGTTGGATATGCTAGGAATAGGCCTGTGGAAACAAATTGAGGTAAAACATGGAAAAAATTGGAAATCCTGAGGCTCTTAGGAATTAGCTTTTTCTTGGAGATGATCATATAAGGATTAGTATACTTAAGAGCAACTTTAGAGGTGGAAACTAGAGTCTAATATTCTTGGTTAAGCGTTGGAGAGCAGGTGGTTTGTTGACTATGATCTGTAGATTTTTACTTCAGACTAAATGGAATTCAAAGATTTTTTTTTAATAACTGTTAAAAAAAGAATGTTTGGAGAGTAAGGAATGGGAAAAGGAAGTTGCAGATGTCTGCTACTGCTAGAAAATTAGTTTATGTGAAATCTCCATTAACAGCTCTAAGTAATATTATAATCATGAATATACTTCAGTTAGAATTGTATCAATGTGGGGGTGCAATGTCTTCTCATACGTCCATGTTTTACAGATGGGTGGGGATGGTTTAAGTTGCCAGAGGGAATATTATATTAATTGCTACTGTGGACTAAAAGGCTTAACCGTCCTCTGCTGAGAATCCCCTTTCAGATAGTGTGGTGCCAGAGTTCCTTTATCTAACAATGGGACCCAAACCTGTTTTTTTCACAAACATAAACTACAAAGTATTCCTCATTTACAGTAGATATGCAATGAAGGAGACCAGCCTTTCGTGAATTCTTAATTTCCCAGAAAAAGGTCAAGAACTTGCATAATTAATTTCCCTTCCAGAAAGGGTGTGCTAAGAATTGCATTAAAGGGGGTTGGTTTATGTTAAATATAGGACATTGGGAATTAGCAAATGCTGAAAAAGGAATAGATTTTCCCACCAATCAGAGCTACTCCATGAAAACGAATGGAGGAGAGGCCTAAAACAATACACACTAGATGGAGAATGGGGAAGAGGTCTTTGGAACACCGGTCACTAGAATGGGGTTCTTACGTACAGTTCCATGGTAATTATGGAATATACTGCATCCCTTGCACTTATATCTAAATATTTGTCTTATGTCTTCTCTGTCTCATGGTTTGTATTTTGTCATATGTTACAGTGTCACGTACCTGATTGGAGACTAAAATGACAAGGTCGGCCTCACTTGTGTCACTAGCCCTGACCCCACTGGAAGTGGAACAGAGGGTGTCTGGGGACCAGGGGGACAAGAGCGCCAGCAGATGTTGTTTGCAGCTCTTGCAGTTGGAGACTTTGGAAGACTGATGAACCTCCGATTCAGGAACAGTAGTGTCATACAGCAGTGGGATGGTGGGTCGCCAGGTGTGCACCAGAGCAAGGCAGGAAGCAGGGATGGGAGACAGGAGGAGTGTCAAAGGAATAGCCAGGGTCATCAACGGGCGGACAACAAGGTACCAAATCATAAACAAGCCAAAGTCAAGAGCAGAGTTAAAGTCAGGAACCAGTATCAAGCAGGAGAGCAATCAGGGTCAGGTCAGGAACAAGCCGGATCAGCAACAAGGAAATCACACAGGAACGAGCAGGGAACAGCTGAAGACCAGTCAGCACTCAGCACAGGCAGAGGCATCTCTTAAATATTCCATCTGGTGCAAATCTTCACCGTGCGTGTGCCTGTGCGTGATCATGCAATTCTGTGCACATGCACACGTCTATTCACCAGCCGTCTCATGGGAATTCTCTTACATACAGCTTTCTTAATAATGTTTCT